AGTAGCTAGAAAAGGAGCACACAGGTTGGTAAGAACATTCAAGCACTTTATTAATACCTCACCAAAACCATAACACAAAACTTTTGGGTGCTGTTCTAGCAGTATACAAATAAATGAATGGAAGATTGCAGAAAAATGGAGTAACGTGGGAAGGGCAGGTCTAGAGAACAGTAAGAGGTTGGGATAATGGACTTCATTTATATTTATTATAAAAAAGACATCATAATTATGAGATTTTCTGAAAAGAAAAAAGAAAATTTGGGGAACAGACCTCTCTAGGAATTGGAGTTAAATGCAGAAAGAATCATAGAAGCAGGAAGGGGGAATTTACACCACTTGCTGTAGGTGTCAAGGGTAATACAGCTGTAAAGCATGAGAAGGGCCTCTGGGAGGCAACTTCAGTAGGTTGGGTGCTCTCGTGTGGCTCTGTTCCTACTGCTGCTCCCCACTGCAGATGGAGGGAGTGGAGGGAGCCAGCATCTCCAGGCAAGGGCTCGCAAGTAGGTCTCTAAAATGACTGGTATAATGGTCTGGAGGTCACTTCCATAGACTTATTCCACAGTGGACTTGTAGACTTACTTGACAGTCAATGCTAGATGCTGGGGTGAGAACAGAAAAAAAAAAAAAAATGAGCTAGACAACCTCATGGAGGAAAACAAAACATTACTAGTCACTAATGCTAAACTCTAAATGAGTCACATGGCTTTCTCCTATCCTTAATTGTACTACTGTTAGTTTTCTGAGAAATTTCTCTCCATCATGGCAGGATTTTTCTGCTTCTGGGTCTTTCACTCAAGCATCTGGACCCAGGCAAGATCCTGGTTCTGTGAATGTTTAACCCTTGCTTCTGTTCCCCATCCTTTCTTAACAATAAATCTGGTTTTGAAATGTTTTGCTTCAAGGAATGTCTTCCCAGTATGCCGAGCTGTCAGGAGTTTACATCAGCAAGTATTTACCACTCCAGCGAATTTAGTCAGTGGAGGAGAATCACGGTCCTTTTACCACAGAAGACTTGGTGAGCATTTCTTTCTTTTAAATTTTTTGGGGCCATGCAGATAATTAATCTACTTTTAAATTGCTATGACAACGACCAAGTCCTCTCTAGAGCATACTCAAGCCGATCGGTGGGGTGCCAGGGTACAGGGGCTGACCCAGTTGCAGGTATTTAATATAAAATGCTTTCCATACATAATTAGAGAGTGAAATGTTGGTGAAGTCACCAGAAACTATTGTTTAGGATTGTTTCTAATACATACTGTGACTCTTCTAATAAAGTTCAGACCTTTTCAAAAATAGTGGTGCCTGTCTGTAAATGCTCCACAGGAGGAAGCCTTTATTTGGATTGTTAAATTTTATTTTGCACATTCCTTATTGTTTACATCTTCAGACCAAAGCCTTGTATAAACAATAACTAATGATTCATTTCTGGGAATTTTTTACCTCTTGTTTCTTTTTATAGCATGTCTTCAAAAATAACATTCTCTTCTGCAAAAAACAGCAACAAAAACTATCAGAAATCCCTACCCTATTCATCTTACTGTAATCAAACTTATTTTCCTTGCCCTAACATTTTTATTTATTTAACTAGATGATTTCTTCCTTTATTGATTTTAAAACTTTATTATAACATACAAATAAATAGTTGTCATAAATCTCAATAATCTTCAGGGTTTCCTTCATTTGAGAATTAAATTATTCCAATTAGTGTTACGCTTTGCTTATGTTTGACCTCAATCCATCACAGCAATTGCAATGAGAGCTTGCTCAGATTAAGTTATCATGGTATTTCCCTGTCCTTCATCATTTTTCTGCACTGACCATGGCCTCAACACAGCCTAATGCTATCAGCTACCCCACGATGATACCTTCTTTCAACACACTGGCTGTTTTTACTGCATAGCAAATATTCAGAATTTCCTATTTTCAGGCAAAATATCAGGGGCAAATATTGAATCCTTAAAGCATATCAGGTCAGGTAATACGAAATGGCACAAATAAGTCTATGAATAACTGCTTTGTAGTTAGATTATTATGTACTAAATCTTCCATGCCATTATGTGCCACCAGCTGTAAAATCTGTGGCTCACATAGGCACATAGGAGTTTAAAAAGTGTCTGTGATTTTCCAGGTTATACTCTAAAGTAGGCTGTTATTTTAAAATTTATTTATAAGATATATACTGTACTCAAAAGTTATTATTATACACTGTGTAGTTGATGATAATACCAATGTTGTGGGTCTTTTTTTCTTTAGGATCTAATAATTTTCCTCAGCATATGAGGTGACAGAAGCAAATAATTCCATTTTAATTTAGGAGACTGGGGGGAAAAACTATGATGAAATAATAGCCCGGTTCCTGTTTTATGCTGCACACAAATCATAAATATTTCACACTCTATCTTGTATCTGAAGGGATTCCCCTCTGTTAGCAGAATTTTGTTTCTAATTAAGGTACAAATTACCACTGAACATTACTTTGCTCATCATAAAACACATTTTCAGTGTGACTGTTTTGTGGTATGGCATAATCGGGGTGAAGAGGAAGGATGGCTGTGTGTTCTCCACCAAAAGCAATCCGGGACACCAGACACATCTCAGCTGCTTTCCTTCTTTTTTCCCTCCTTTCCACCAGCAAGGAGCAGACTGAGGGCTCGGTCGCTCCTTTGAGTTGATATTGAAATGGGGATTTTTTTTTTTTGCATTTTTAAAGCACGTTTACTAACAGAGGGCAAGTTTCTGCCTTGACAGCCCTGGGGGTTACTAGTGAACATTTGATGTGCAGATCTCCTCTGCCAGCCCCGCCACACAGAGGGCATCACCCTGGGGGCCTGGTAGAAAATACGCTCCATAGGGCTCTTCTTCTCCCTCCCTCTCATCTCCCTTCCCCACCCACGCTCCACTGCAACAACCATCCATGAGCTAAAACTTAGTAATGGCTAGGAAGAACAGTGCACAGGGGGAGAGCCAGGTCTTCTGCCTTCCCAAAATGGGAGTGAGGGGAAGGGGGCTTTGGGAACCTTCCTTCTGCCTCAGCCCCACAAGACAGGGGCTGCCAAATACACAGCCTGCCCTGTGCTTACTGCTCAGGGAAACAGACCACCTAACCAAGGACTCGGGACCGAGGCTTGAGCTCTTGTTAGCCTTGCTCTCACCTTCGGTAGCCTCGACATGCCCTCACAGCCCTGCGCAGCCCCGCTACAATTGCCAGAGCTTTTGTCCTGCATGCGTGGCTCTTTACTGTGCTTTTGCATGCTTTAGGCTGCGGTGCTGCTATTTCTGCACATCTGTAGATGTTCTGTATCTGGCAAGCACAAGTTTGGAAGGTCCCTGCATTATCCAAGATTTGGGATGTTAGGAAATCTGCTGCAACAGTGAGACTTGCATTGGAGAAATGAAATGTATGCACCGGCTTGCTGAAATTGTATTGTACTTGAACTGAACATTTCTAACACTGATGAAAATTAATTTCAGTTTTATGGGAGGCATTTACATATGAACAGGACTTAATGAGATACAAGCAGCTGTCAGTTGCTTACTTCATAAACAAATCAACACCTAATGACTGAATGAGAGTTTCAGGATAATTGGGTAAATGTAATTATGGTAACTCAGAAGGTAGCAAATATAATTTTATCAGCTACAAATTTGCATTAGATCGTTAGGGTTTTTAATATCAGGAGAGAAGAAAATTATTTTATTTTAACTTACATATCTGAAAAACTTTATAATAGAAAGAACATCATTTCACTCACAATACATCTGGGACCTGATTTCCTTGTGCATATGTAAAATGTCATGCAACAACAGTGACTTTTATTTGACATCAACCTGACTTAGATATAATGTCATTAGAAAGCCAGATTGCCTTCTAGTAGCATTAAAAAAAAAAAAATAGGAAGAAATATGAGAAACTGGGGAGGTTTATTTTGCTTGTAATAAAATGCTTTCATAACTCCTCAATACAGCACTTCCCATTTGAATAGGCGTCCAAATGGTGACTGTCCAGAAAACCGGTATTTTATCACTGAGAATGCAGCTGACACTCAGCTCCTTATTCTCTTTTCTTAATTATCATGACTTCTTGAAATTGTTGATTACCATGTTTAACAGCATAATCCTCTTAAGTTGTTGTTACCTTGAGGTGCAGAGAAGCCTCGGAAAGCTTTCAAAAACAGTGAGCAGGACCAGCTTTTCAAAATTGCTTTTGCAGTTGCAAATTCGGCCCAACACACATTATCCCTCATCCAGAGAGGAATCTGAACCCCTGAGAGCTTTTGCTGCCCACGGTTGTGTGACAGTGGCCCCACTTTTCACAGGCCCCCCATAACCACCCGACTGGGTGGGAAGGCGAGGGCAGCTCCTCACCCCACTGCAGCTCGGGGGTCATGGGATTCCCAGAGCAGCAGAGCTGTTCCCAGAGGAGAGCTATCTTTGTCTGCAGCCAAAAAAAAACCCTGCACGCTAGGACGTGCCTCCCTGAGGACCATCCCCAGCTGCTTAGCTGATGCACACACCTCTCTTCCAGCTGCATGTTCATCTCCAGGCAGCAACTCGGCTCCTCCCTTCCTCCCCTCCCCTTAAATGAGGGAAGCAAATCACCTGCCATTGCTGCATTCATCTGGGGGAGTTTCTGAGTAATAAGCTCAGCTCAGCTCACCCTACCCTTAGCTTGATGTGCAGCCAACATCTGAGATCTGAGGAGGAAGACGGAGCCGCCCCGTCAGCAGGTGGCCCTGTGCTCAGCGCCTGGCAGGGTGGCAGTCCCCTGCAGCACGAGAGGGACGATGAGCCTGTCCAGGAAAACATTTTGCTCAGGTAAAACCCAGGCGAGCCCTAGCACGGGCTGTCAGCCCTGGTGTCAGCTCTGTGCCTTGTGGTGCAGGCCCAGCCCTGGGAATAGCCCCATAGCGGTGCTGCACAGGGGTCTTCTTGGCGGGATTTCAGGTGTGGTGCTCCCCTGGGCACAGAGGAGTACTGTGTTATTACCCATGGGTGGGCTCTCCCCACCATTTGTGTAGGGTGGGTGTGAGCCTGGTGCCCCCAAACCAGCTGCAATGCACCCACACAGCCACCCTGTAGGGACGTTTGCACCCGGCAGCGGCTGAGGAAATGCCGTCGATGCCACACCAAGCAGCACCGGTAACTGTGTTCAGGGGACACCACCGCTTGTTGGGAGACACTAGACTTCCACAGGATAGTGAAATTGCCATTTGTGTAGGGTGGGTGTGAGCCTGGTGCCCCCAAACCAGCTGCAATGCACCCACACAGCCACCCTGTAGGGACGTTTGCACCCGGCAGCGGCTGAGGAAATGCCGTCGATGCCACACCAAGCAGCACCGGTAACTGTGTTCAGGGGACACCACCGCTTGTTGGGAGACACTAGACTTCCACAGGATAGTGAAATTGCCCCTGTATCACTGTAAATCCCCCCCCCCCCCCCCCCCCACCAAATTGAGAAGCAAAACATGAAATTAAATCACTTCAATTTTCTGTAAATACCGCTGGGCTGCAGTCACACACCTCACCTCTACCCACACACCTTCACTAACGAATACTGAAGGAGCCTGGCCATGAGGCTCTCCATCTTGTCACCTGGGCAAACAACATGACACAATTTTATTGGGCTGGGAGGTCATGGTGGGGGACATTGCCTGCTCTAAAACCTTTCTTTGGTTTCAGTATTGTTATTTTCCTCAGGACATGTGAGAGTTAACACCGTTTTTTACTGCTTTTTCTGGAGTATGCAGTCTCTGTTAGGGCTCTCTGCGGTGCTGTTGATGCTCTGTAGTGAACACGAACTCCACCACTGAGGTGATGTGCTGGCTTCACAGCACTCCAAAAATAAACAGTAAATAATTGTGGTGAATATTGACTGTCCATTGTGCCTATGCAAGCTTAGAAAGTCCTTTGTGTGCAGATTACTGGCATTGTGCACTTTTAATGGATAATTCATAGCTCTTGTAATGTAACCCATCAATACATTATATCCTGAGGGAGTATTTAATCGGCAGATCTGCCCCGCAGATTAGCTCTGCATGCTGTAAAAATGCTTACAGTATTTGCAATATCAAGCAGATACTTAAAACAGACAACAAGGGTCATTTCAGTTAAAAATCAAGCCCTCAGGCAGCTTCACTTGTTTTTTAAAGAAATTAAAAATTGGTATTTGAAAAATTTCTCCAAGTATGTACTAAACTAATCTTTGTATATTTCCAGTATGTGACTGGATGCCTAACCGCTCTGACGTACTGTCCATTTTAGCTGCACAGGTCTCCTCTATTCGTTCTTTCACTTCCACACATGCAAGCTGGTGGCTCAGCCACCTTTACAATATTCATTTTAATAGGTATCATTCTACATAAATTTTTGAGGGTGGTGGGAAGGGCTTTTTATCTTAAATTAGAGTAACAGCATTATATCCCATGCCATCATAATGTAGCCATATGACTCAGAAACAACCTAGGAAAGAAGCTCCTGCTTTTTTTAGGGACCTCCTGCTTCTTTTAGGGACCTCCTGCTTCTCGTCCTCAGCCCGCTCAGTCAGCCCTTGGCCAGGCATAGATCTGTCCCAGTTTAAAGTCTGATTTTTAATTCTCCGCAGTCAGCCTTGCTTTCCCTGCCCATCCCCTCCACAGCTCTGTGGCCCAGCCTCAGCGCTCACGTTGCCCCCACCACCCCTTTTTTCCCAGACCCATCACACAGCTGGCACAGCCCCTTTTGCTCCATCATGATGAACAATTTCCCATCTTTGTTTCACTTCATATGCAATATATTTTTCTTAATCTTATGCTGGCACGAGCATGGAGTGGAGGGGCTTGGCGCACCCGCTGGGAGAGCCAAGACTTGTAACCTGTTGTGCTGTGCGCGGGTTGGCAGGGCAGCTTGGAAAGGCTCAATGGCAACAACAATTACTCTTCTTGTGATTCAGTTTCTTCACCAGCCTTGGTTCTTGAGGGTGGTGGATGTTAGGCTAGGTTTGCCTAGCAGGACTCACTCAGCATGGAAAATGTAAATGTCGCATTGGACAATCTCCTACAGGGCCAACATCAAGCACTTTTTAATAGATAATGTTAATTGACTCCATTATAATAAAGAAAAATAAAGCTGTTGAAGACAAACTATTTAACTAGAAAGGTGAAACTACAGCAAGGTTTTTTGCTTGAAGGATATTACAAATATCCAGAGTTTAGTTATACATAGGCAAGTAATCTAATTCAATGCTTCCCCACCACAAATCTTGGGTGTTATAGATTTTGTTTGAGTAGTTGGCCAAGAGCAAGCTATTTGCAATGTGGAAAAAACAGAATCTTTGTCAAAAACTTGTGATTGCAGTATCACCAGTGATGTGTGAGCAAAATCTAGTCTAGAATCATCCTGACAAAAAGAAATTCCTATATCCAATAAAAAAGAGTCAATTATTGTTGAATGGAAATACCCAGTATTCAAAGGGGAGAAATGCTTACACTCAAGAACTTTAATTTAATAGTCTTCTTTTTTTACATAACAAATATCAGAAGAAACCTTTTTACACAACTTATAGCCTGTGAACTGTGACCAAAAATATAAAAATCAAAGTCATACCTTAGATCCACCTTTCTAGTTTTGCAACCTGTGACCCTCACAGAATGGTACTCAATAAAAATCCAATAATATTTACTGATGGTAGGTTTATCTTAAAATAATACACAAAATCCCTGTAATGCCTCTGCAACCTTCCTTAGAAATATCATTATTGACTGGAAAGTTCTTTATATATCCCTGTGCAACAAGTGGCATCACCTAGAAAGTTCATTTACAAAAATCTGTCTTTGATTGTGCCAGTCTTTGCAGGCTGGGCTGTGATTGTTGTATCAACTTTATTTTTTATAGTTGCATTTTATCTTTTTTCCTACAGTTGTGTAGAGAATTGCAAATTAAAGCATTTTTATTGGTTTTAAGGTCCAGCGCCACACGTTTTCGCTGGAGCCAGTGCTACTACACAGCCCAAGATGAATGGGCCTTAGACAACATCTACATCGGACAGCAGTGTCCCAACATGTGCAGCGGACATGGCTGGTGTGACCACGGTGTTTGCAGGTACAGAGCATCTGCCAGTTCCTCTTAACAACGGTGTCCTGATATATCAGATATCCTATTATTTTGCCTTTTTTCCCCCTGTTGTTCTTATTTTTATATTAAACATTTTAAAATAAAAGCACTGTGGGGGTTAGACCATTCAAGCAACTTTAACAGCCCGTTGCTCCACACCTCTCTGTCCAAGAACCCATACCCTTGGCAGATCCAGGCATCAGAAGAGCTTTCAGTGGCCCAGGGCTGCCCTGCTGCAGGTGTCCTGGTGGCCCCTCCAGCCCTTTGCTCAAGGATCCCAGGGACCACCTCAGTATCGCAGCCACTTTGCTGGGTCAGAAGGATGCCCTGGACCAGCTCAGCACTGCTTGACGGCCACTGTCAGACCAGGTGCAATAGCAAGGGCATAGACTACTGCCTGCCACCTTCAAACTTTCTGGACACTACAGGGTTTTTTTCAGAAATAAGATATATCTTTTTTCCATTATCCAGTTATTCTAGTTTGTTTCAGGATCTAAAATTCCAATCCCAGAACAATTTGTTATTTCACATCTAATTTTAAAAGGCAAGTGCACTGCCTTAAGTAATTGTCAGTGTCAAATAAAGTCTTTAAAAGCTTGTTACGTTTACACTTCCTTCCAGGTGTGACTCAGGGTTTCGCGGTACTGAATGTCAGCCTGAAAATCCCCTTCCTTCAACCGTCATGTCTGATTTTGAGAACCCAGAGAGCCTGAAGACAGAGTGGCAGGAAATTATTGGGGGAGAGATCGTCAAGCCTGAAGAAGGCTGTGGGGTTATCTCATCTGGCTCCTCACTCTATTTCAACAAGGTACTAACGAGGGATGGGAGACTAAGAAAGGCACATACTGTAGGTTTGAATGGAGCATGGTGTGGTTGTATGTCAAAGAAGAGGAAGGTGGCAGAAAGCTGCACACAGTATGAGAAGTGCATTAAACAGCGCAGCTGTGCTCTGCAGGTAAAGAACAAAGCAATCGAAAGACAGAAGGAAAGACACATGCATTATGTATTCAAGAAATACCAGCTGTAATGGAAGGAAGTAAATCGCCAGTGTGCTGGGAAGTGTGTACATTCATACTGTCTTAATTGTGCATTTTCTGTTTTAAGACTCAGTTCTTTCTCAGCATCCAGCAGCTCCCATTTGTTTGTTCTGTACTGTTCTCAGCCAGGGGTAGAGAAAGGTTGGCTTTCCAGTGGACAAGCAGCTTAATTTGAGGTCATAAGACCAAAACTAGTGAAAAAGCAACCCCTCCAGGCTTTTAGAAAATAGTTAGCCTGTAGGAGGATACACTTTTGTATAACTTGGATATTTGGCAGACAAAAATAATAGAGCAGGAAAGAGATATAGGGAATTCTGCTAATTAATAGCAATTATAACTAAAATAAGAAGAGATCTTTAGGACCAGATGTAAGATTATGGGTTGTAATCACAGATTAATTTTTTATTGTTGCTCCTCAGTTCTAGTACTGGGTTTTGTTTTGTTCTTAATTGAAAGGAAGAGTACAAATGCAGCTATGTGCTGCTCTTTTAAAGGTTTGATCAATCTGCCACTGCTGTCATGAGCCAGATTAGTCCCAGAAGAATAAGCCAATATGCAATGCTGTGTAATTGTGTGTTGTTTACCTCATTATAAAAATCTAACCCATCAAATAATTTTCAGCACTCCTACATAGTCTCACATCCAGCTCCCCTGGAAATGCAGCTCTGCGCTGAAAATTTCATAATAGACCAATCAGTATAACTAGCTAATTGTGATAATTGGATTTTTTTATATAATTGTCTTCTCTGTTAGATGTTTTTCCTTCTGGCTTAGTTCCTTATGCCGTTTCTCCAAAGTAGTTCGCTAAATTAGAATTAACCTGCTATGATCTTTCTTCTGATTTCTGATAAGGAGAAGTGTAAAACTAATTTAGAAATTCTTGGCTTCTTTCTCTTGATCTGTAAGGGTTAGGTTATCATTCATTTATTGAGTAGTAGCAGTCTGTGTGCCATCAACAGAAGGTGGTTTATTTAATTTCTGTTTAGATCTTTTTCAAGGCGTCTAGTGGCCATGCTGGTAGATAATAAAAAAAATATTTTTATAGTTGCCCAACAGCTCCTATTCACAGACTTCATTCCTTTTCATTTGCTCAAATAGCCACCTTTTATTTGAATGTCTAAAATTTACCGCCATAATCAATTACTGCTACCAGAATTAATGTTGGCTTTGTTCTGCCAACCCTCTATCTTTTGTTTTACAACTCATTTTAATCAATTGTAGGTGTGTTCACAATACAGAGCTCTTTCAATTAGCCCCTGCAGTTCCTCTGAGGTTTTATGCCACTTGTGCCCTTTCTCAATTAACCTCGTTCTGTGGTTAACCCTTTGGCAGGCAGAGCTGCTGTGGGATGTAGGTATGGAAACCCACCTGGAATAGTTTTACAGCCAGAGCTTGATCCACTGCAGATCAGTACGCTGGGTACCCTCAGCCAGCCAGGACACACCTGCCCACAGAGCAGCAAGCGTGTTTGCATCTTTATTATCCGTTACTAGTTTGATTTGACAAGAATATTTCCAGATTCCCATGGGTCTACAAATGAAGCTGTGAAAGCAAACTACCAAGAGATTGTCAGTGTCACCTTGGCCAGTACTAGCCATGTGGGGCTGCACCAGAAAGCTTGGGGCTGCACCTGAGACTAAGCCCATCTTACTCATGGCAACATCCAGGAGAGCTTTGATCAGATGTGGATAAACCGCAAAATAAACAAAACCAGCAGGCATAATTCAAGACCAAATCAGTATGACTGTATCCTAAGTGAGCTTTTTGAAAGTCAAAGGATTCTTCCACAGGTTTTAGTTGTCATCGGTGGTGCAAGCTAACCAAGTTTCAAAAACACAAGCATTCAGCTTCCAGAAATTAGTCTAGCAGTGTGATGTGGCCTATTTGGTAGAGTCTTCAAATGAGCTATGGACCCAGCCTGTAACACCAGCAAAGTGAAATGTTCCAAGAAAGAAAGCAACAGACATTTATCTGTGCTGAGTTTACCCTGAACTGGGTAGAAAGAGGAAAGAGGTGATGAGTGGAAAAGGATTTAAATTCATCTGTCATCTTATTAAAAAACACAGATAATATTTTAAATCTCAGCTCATAAATCTTGTTACTTATGTCCAGCTAGATAACGTCACCTGCTTATCTCAAATTTGTCTGGAAATTTGTCAGAAGATTCATGAATGTAAAAGTGAGACAAACATAAGTATTACTTGAAATATAGGCATCATTTTATAACTTAGGTTTTCTTTTTATGCTTGGAGATGGACAGGTACTCATGATTTTTTAGGGAATTAGAAGCAGTAGGCGTGTTGCCAGTGCTACTCCATTTTGGGGTGTGGTGCCAGATTGCAGCTACTTTTAACGAATGCAGGAATATGATCCCTGCATCCTCCCTCCAGCTGCACGTATTTGGCTTTAACCTACCTGTAAAATCTTGTGGCAGCATGACACTGTGCCAAGGCAGGGCTGTGCCAGGCACAATGCATGTGGGTTACCTCTGTGGGGACACTGCTTTCACCCTGTGTCCTGCCTTGCCACGGGCAGCTTCGTATCACATATCACCATCTTGTGGGCTTGTTGATGTGCGAGCCCACAATCTCAGCCTCAAGCACCAGGTCAGAAGGGGAAAAAGGGAATGGGATAATTACCGTTACAATAAAAGGCTCTTAAACTTTAAAGCTTTTTTTTAGCTGAATATACTGTTCTCCCTTGCCAACATGTACAGAGTGATCACATTGACTACGGCATAGATGTCCAAGAGCTGCTTCCTGTTAGAACTCAGAAAACATCCTTGGAAAAGCTGTTCCCTAGATTTTATAAGGCTATTTTTTCTCTCAGCTATGCTTAAGTAAACCTGAAACTAAATCCACAGGTTTTAGTTGAGAGACTCCTGATTTACAATGTTTACTAGGAAAAGAGCATAGTTTTGTGTAGGAACAAATCCTATTCAGGTGAGACATGAAGAGAAAATGCCACTCCCTTGTTCTTGTGTAGGAGATGGGCTTCAAGTGACTGCTATTATAGCTGCTATAATTTCAGATCATTGGGAAACCCTATGCAGTGCAAGATTTGACTGGGGAAATGAGACTTCAGAAATGTCCTTTTACTGCTTTATGCTTTATCATTAAAAAGCTGAATACTTATAAATTTAGCCCTGATTGGTTTGGAATACCCAGCGTCTGCTTTTTGTCTTCTGAAGGTACTTGGGACCTTGAAGGAATGAGATTAAATAGTTGTGTGGAAATTGTGTTGTGAAGTCGCATTGTGTGTTGAAATCTAACAATAAAAATTCTTGTGGGATCACACCAGGGTGATTCAGACATAAAGAATGGCCAATTAGAATCATTGTCTGGAAGTCAAAAAAATGTCATCTTAAAGCAAAATTCAATGTCCTCCATGCTGTGCAATTTTCTGTGCAATATTCATCTATGTTGGACTTTAAATATGCCTATTCATAGTGAAGGTGTCATATTTAATATTGTTATTGCCCCTCTGTTCTTTGTATTGTAGGCTGGAAAAAGACAGTTGGTAAGCTGGGATTTGGACACGACATGGGTGGATTTTGTCCAGTTTTACATCCAGATAGGAGGAGACAGTTCTTCATGCAATAAACCAGACAGCAGAGAAGAAGGTGTGCTGCTGCAGTACAGCAATAATGGTGGTATCAACTGGCAGCTGCTAGCAGAAATGTATTTCTCTGACTTCAGCAAACCCAGGTATAATTTCGGCCAGAATTAAATCCATACTGCATGAGCTCTTTAAAAAGAGCTATTTCTCAATTTATGAAAACATGAATAATAATTCCAAGCTATAATGCTTAAAAGCCATCAGTATATGGAAACTTTTCCAGGCTGCCACAGTAAACTGTCACTAGGAAGGAAAAATCTAATGAAAGTGGGCCTTAAAAAAAAATGAAATAAAATATAAAGTTCCAAATCACTCACCTCCCATGTAAAACATGACTAAAATGCTAATATCTGCAAAACATTGGCAAGCAAATACAGAACTTGCCCGAAAGAGGTGTAGAAATCTGCCATTTCCTCTGACTCTGGTTTCAGATCTACTGATCGTATGTTAATGTAACACACAACAAAAACTGCTTTAAAGAAATATTTAAGGAGGAGAAGAAATCATGTTCAGCATTTCAAATTTGCTGTAAGATAGCTTGTCAGTGAAAATTTAAATTGCATTTGTCTGCATAGGTATTAACATGATTTCTATTACTTTGTAGTTCATGTCTTTCAATATGTAAATAATTTTATCTTCCCATCTTGTCATTTTGCATTGCAATGAATAATGTTTTCAGAAGGGCTTCTATAACTCAGCAAACTGTCCTTTTCTGAAGATGATCTAGGCCCTTGGAAGTATAAAACCATTGAACTTTGTTTAGAAGAGAAGAGAATAGACTATTTCAGTTGGAAGGGACCTACAATGGTGACCCAGTCCAACTGCCTGACCACTTCAGGGCTGATCAAAAGTTGAAACATGTTGTTAAGGACCTTGTCCAAATGCCTCTTAAAGACTGACAGGCTTGGGGCATCAACCACCTCTCTAGGAAGCCTGTTCCAATGTTTGACTACCTTTTCAGTAAAGAAATGCTTCCTAATGTCCGGTCTAAATCTCCCTGACACAGCTTTGAACCATTCCCACATGTCCTCTCACTGGATCCCAGAGAGAAGAGCTCAGCATCTCCCTCTCCCCTTCCCCTCCTCAGGAGGCTGTAGAGAGCAATGAGGTTGTGCCTCAGCCTCCTTTTCTCCGTGCTAGACAAACCCAAAATCCTTAGCTGTTCCTCACAGGACATGCCTTCCAGCCCTTTCAGCAGCTTTGTTGCCCTCCTCTGGATGCATTCAAGGACATTCGCAGCCTTCTTAAATTGTGGGGCCCAGAACTGGACACAATACTTAAGGTGAGACCATACCAATGCTGAATACAGCGGGACAATCACCTTTTTTGACCAGCTGGTTATGCCGTGTTTAATGCACCCTGGGATGGGGTTTGCCCTCCTGGTTGCCAGGGCCCACTGCTGACTCCTGTTGAGCCTGCTGTCCACCAGCACCCCCAGGTCCCTCTCTGCAGGGCTTCTCTCCAGCCACTCCTCTCCCAGATTATACTTGTCCCCAGCATTACTCCATCCTAGGTGCAGAATCCGACATTACGACTTGTTAAATTTCATCCCGTTAATCACAACCCAATGCTCCAATCTATCTAGATCCCTCTGCGAGGCCTCTTGTCCCTCAAGGGAGTCAACTGCACCTCCCAGTTTAGTATCATCAGCAAACTTGCTAACAGTGCGTTCAACTCCTGCATCCAGATCATCGATAAATATATTGAACAGGACTGGCCCTAGAATTGAACCCTGAGGAACACTGCTGGTGATCAGTCACCAGCCAAATGCAACCCCATTCACTCCAACTCTTTGAGCTCTGCCCTTCAGCCAGTTCACCCAGTGCACCGTGAACTTGCTGATCCCACAGCTGGACAACTTGTACATAAGGATGCTGTGAGGGACAGTATCAAAAACCTTACTAAAATCCAGAAAAAATACATCCACTGCCTTCCCTTTGTCCACTAGGCAGATGGTTTAACTTTCATTTTGTCAAAATTACAGGACATATCCAACAAAGAAGCTACATACTGAAACCTCCATCACTGGACTATCTAAAAGATTATTTTTAGACAAAACATTTGCCCCCCTACTTAACTAAGACTGATGGTTCTTACTGAATACGGCTATGCATATTTATTTTTCTGCTGCTTCAAATGTGGTCCAGATCTTATTTTCCAATTCCTTAATTTCCAACACATAAATCTAGGCATCCTGTGGAAAAGAAGGTTCCCTGTAGAACTGAACAATTCCTCCACCTCTCTCTGCCTAACCAGCAAGTGAGGCAGGGTCCGTGGCACAAAATAACATGTGGTATAAAACAGAGTACCAAAAGGAATATATCTATAAATGCATATATGTAAGGTGTCTGAAAAAGGACTGAACAAGTAACTAATTATTGTACTTTTTAACGTAAGTATGATTAGATTTGAAACTTTAACTTTTATTTAACATATTTTTTGTAAGCTGTTTCCTAAATTGCACATAAAGCAAACTATCTGAGAAGACCTAAAGTTCTTTTATGAAGATCTATATAGAAGGGCTGAAATATTTTTATCTACAGCAGAAAACTCTGCTACATAATCTGTTGCATTGTAATAGAAGGATGCGTTTGCCTACAAATAGGACCAACCAGCAGAAGAGAATGAGAAATTAATTTTGCCAGCATATTTCACCATTACTTGCTGGCACCAGAAGAACGTTAAGAATTGCTGAACATGGATCAGCTGAACAGTTTAATTCAAAGCTGAAGAGTTCAAATCAGTTCCTTATTGTGCTAGGCGATATAGTAATAGAGAGTGAAAACCAGACATTGTCTTAAAGAGTTTACATTTACCACAGACAAGGACAAAGAAAGCTTCTTGATATGCAGTGTATAAATAGGTATCCAGATAAATAGAAGATTTCCGAGGACTTCTACATTAAGATAGATATTGCCTTTCTAGCCTCTTTTCCCTGTTCGGTGGTATTTCTCCCATTTCTCTGTAAACTATGTCCCCTAAAGTTCTGCTGAATTTCTGTTCTTCAGGTTTGTCTATCTGGAGTTGCCGGCTGCAGCCAAAACGCCTTGCACAAGGTTTCGCTGGTGGCAGCCCGTGTTTTCAGGGGAAGGGTATGATCAGTGGGCCATCGATGACATCATCATTTTGTCAGAGAAGCAGAAGCATATCATTCCCGTTGTTAATCCCACTTTACCACAGGTAAGCAAGAGCAGGCTGTGGGCATCCCCACAAAACAGGAACCATCCTCTCTGTTAGCAGACTTTTCTTTGAATATAATTTTCTTTGAAAATATTTGGTGTTTCTAAAGAAACAGCTGTAGTGTTTGTAGCTGTCTCTCTCTATGTGGGAATAACCTGGGTCTTATCACAAAACCAACAGGCTCCTAATCTTTGTGACAGAGGATTTAATTATGTATCTTCTCAAAAAGTCAAGACAGAAATTTTGCAAATTACAATTTTTTTGAAATGACAGAAAATACTAGTTGTAAAATTTTAAAGTTGATAATTTGGGGAATTATTCTGAAGTTGCACTGCAAGGTAAAACTACTTGTGGCTTTCATTTTTATTTCTAACAGAATTTTTATGAAAAGCCAGCATTTGATTACCCTATGAACCAGCTGAGTGTATGGTTAATGTTGGCCAACGAAGGGATGACCAAAAATGAAAGTTTCTGCTCTGCCACCCCCTCCGCCATGCTCTTTGGTAAATCAGATGGAGATCGGTTTGCAGTGACTCGAGATTTAACTCTGAAGCCTGGATATGTCCTGCAGTTCAAGGTATTCCTTAAATATAAATCCTTGTAGAATATCAGTAAAACTGCCTTTAGTCAATATTTGCAAGATGTCACAGTTCAAAACAAGGTGATAAATTATACCACTGCATGAAAAGACAAGAAGAGCACGTGTGTATTCATACAGCATAAAATATCATGCTGCTTTCTAGAAGGATAGCCAAAGCCTTGGTGCAGGAGAGCTTTTTTACCCCTCTGAAGAAATTTTAAAGCTTGTTCTTCAACAAGTTTCATAAGTGGGTTGAAGTGAGTGTCATTATATTCAAATCAGTACTAGGAAACGCTACTGCACTGTCAAGGGAAAAAGGATTTATCTCATCTGGGGCTCTGTGACTACAAAAGCTCCAATGTGGTTTGCATACATTTTTTGTATTTTAAACTATTTAAGGACTTACAAGCTGCTCTGTACTCCAGTGTGGGTTTTTCATATCATTTACTTTTATTGTGTCAGTGAATATAGGCTCCAATTAGCATTCTCTTCTTTAAAGGGCTTACAAAAATTTCAGTGGTCTGACAATACATCAGAATATGGGCTCCAAAGAAAGTGTATTTGCTTTGACAAGCTCTTGTTTCTGAACCCTAATCAAAATTTTATTGAGTTTATAATGAAATCCCATTGGTGAATTCTGGAGGTTGGTTGCAATGCAATTTTAATGAGCTCACCACAAATACATGGTCCTTACATAATTGGTGGATACAGAAACTGAATAATTTACAAGTGGAATTATTAAAGAGATCAGATGTTTACAGGCAGCTTTTCAAATATAATTCCCACAGTTCTATAAATAGGAAAGTTAGTTAAAAATAATGGGATTTGTAAAATAATGTCATTTCATCTAAAAGTTATGCTAATGAAGTGCTATACAAACTGAAGGATTGCAGTACAATTTGTAAGTGAGTATTGCTTGTAGTTTTATACTTTATAGTGGCTAAAACCCAAAAATATTTCAATATATAAATACCATTTAGCCTGAAAAAGATGCTATTTGCCTCTTCACCACTTGCATCTACTTCAGAGACTAAGTCTCCATTCTGTAGGTTTGATGATCCACAGCATTTCAAAAATTGTTAAGTCTAAAAAAGCACCACTTAAAAATAATTCATACACCTTCCATTGCTGAAATACTGTAACATAAATATACAAAACATAAACAACATGTATCAGAGAACAGTGAGTCCTTTATAAAGCCTATTATTTAAGGCCTGAATTTATACTCCTCTCTTTTTTGGAAAGCTTTTAAACTGGTCTGCACATAATATGTTAGTCTTGTTTGCATGCTTTAATTTTAAACATATGGTTAAATGCTTTCCTGAGTTTGTGAAATTTCCATTTTAAATAGCTGCCTGGAATAATTTTGCATTGATAAACTCAAAGATAGCAATTTGTCAAAATAATTTCATTTTACATGAATGATTTTGGTTTACATTTTACATTCTACAGCTCAAGTAGAATTTCTGCAAGAAAATAATGAAAACTAATATTTTCCTGATAGCTTGAAAAATGAAACTGAAAACTTCAAATCAGCAGTTGATTTTTGTCTTGGTTACATTCTCATTTCACATTTTAATATGCATTTTCCTACTTCATCCAATTTTGCTCTGTTCTGGGGACCCAAACGGCAGCGCCAGCTCCCAGACATCATTCCTGCGAGGCTAGTGACTTGACTGTGGTCAGGGTCCACGACCCAGGGCAGGGGGGGCCTGGGAGTCAGGCTGATCCTCTGGGCACATTGGGTGGATTGAAGATGGGATGGGTCTCAGAGGAGACAGCTCTTCCCATTCCTCCTGGGCACATAGGTGCCTGCACAGAGTTTGTGGCCTGCTATGCACCAGGACCTTTGAAAAGTTCTTTGCACATTTTGATGTGCTGAACCCAGCAACCTTAATGAAGGAATACTGAGAAATTTTTACTGAGAAATGTCATATATTTGTAGGAAACACACTCTAAGCACCAGTCACTGTTTGCCAGCAGGGTTCAAAGCACTCAAAGAGTGCTAAGCCTCCCAACCCGAAAAGTCAAAAGTGGTTTCCAGCTAATAAATACCAATAATGGCATAGGTTTCTTCAGCTCATATCTGATGCTCTGCTTTTTTGCAGCTGAACATTGGTTGCACCAACCAGTACAGCAGCTCTGCTCCCGTTCTGCTTCAATACTCTCATGACGCTGGACTCTTCTGGTCACTTGTGAAGGAGGGCTGCTACCCTGCATCTCCAGGCACGAAAGGATGCGAGGGAAGCTCCCGGGAGCTGAGTGAGCCGACCGTGTATCACACGGGAGACTTTGAGGACTGGACAAGAATTACTATTGTTATCCCAAGGTCACTTGCAGCAAGGTACTGTACATTGTAAACCAGTGATGCCAGTGGTACCCATTAATTCGCTGCCTCTTCTGTGATGCTACATTAGGAAAAATTTGCAAGCTGCGAATAAAAGCAGTGTTAAAAGTCAGCAGATCTGGGAAAAGTATACTGTGCTCTCCAAAACAAGGAGAAGCTTTCCATTTTAAAGGTGTCTGAATGGTCTATTAAATCAAATGACAACACAGCAAGGAAGCCAGAACATTTTAATTTGACATCCATCTCTTCATCATGGTGCTGTCTGTCTTTATGCATATCAGTTAGGTCAGGGGCACCAGCAAGAGAGTGGTAAGTCACTTGAATCAAATAAGCCATTTGAACAAGACTAATTTTACAGTTACCACTGGACAAAGAACCCCTAGAAGGGTATTTGAGCTGCTGTGTAATGTGCTGTATCATTGAAGGTGACCAGGACAGCCAAAGTCATAGGAGGGAGGAATGATAGGTGTGCTCATCTGCAAGCACGACCTCAGCATCGGTTTAATACAGATGAGAAAACATCAGATGGTGGAAGTTGCCAAGTAGCCTTGAAATCAGGAGGCTTTTCGCAGTCTTACTTGGATTTGGCTGAAGTTTTTCACTCCCCTCGCTTACTGTCCTACCCCTGGTCTGATTCGCTGCCTGCACCAAGCACTGCCAGTGCAGCCGGCAGCCAGCCCCCGAGCCCCTGGCCATGCCCCAGCTACCTCCTGCCTCTCTCGCCCCAGGCAGCTGCTCCAGTGCTGCCCTGGGGCTTCAGCCCTATCCTCCTGCCACGGGCTCCTCATCCTCAAGCCCCAGCACAGATTTTGAGTATGTGGCATATTGTGTAGCAGGGGAGTCAGTGCCTTTGCCGCAAGGAGTTGAAATAGCAGCGTGTACTGTAACAAGTTTGTTTTCTCTTCAGTAATTAGCCAATAAAAGCAGGTGCCAAATTGCACAGATCTGACACCAGCTGATTTGATTTACCCAAAACAAGCACTGTAGAATCAATAGCAGCAATCTGTTTGGCATTATGTTCAGTAATGTGATCAGGAATAAGAAGCTCATGCTAATACATTAAAAATGTAAGTATTGTGAGTACAATGAGGGTCTCGGCATGTTGAAAACTGAATTCGTTGTGGGTCACTTTGGAAATCATGGTTCAAAACATACGATCCGGAGAGCATCCCGTTTCATCAGTTGGTACAGAGCACTAGCACGATGATCACCTACGTACCAAATCCCAGTGCACAGCAGAAAAAAAGCAGTAAGTTTATTATATTTTAGGCAGAGTAGCAAGGATCTTAGTTAATCCATTGGATTGGCAATGAGATTTTAAATCTGTTCCCCTCTCTGGAGCTCTTATAAAATGATTCAGCTGAAAGTTAAAGACTGAAAATAAATGACCAAAATATTTATTCTTCAACAAATTTCCTATGTAGTAGGTCATCTGGGGTAACTTAGTGTAGGCTCACTGAAGTCCCTGGAGCATTTTCAGTTATACAAGTTGAGGATTAGATCACTGTTTTCCAGGAATTTCATGTTGTCATCCAAGAATACAAAGTTAGTATTTCTGTCCACATGTCCTGTAGGACACGTTATTTGCCATTGTTTTTAAAAGTGGATGATTTTTTTTGTACCCAAATTACTTGAAGTTTTTTTTACTCAGAATTATACAATCCCATAATAAACTCTGCATCACTGCCATTACTGAGTTCCTTTCATAAGTACTGTAAGAATGGGAGTTCTGGATTTTAATATGTAATTAGCAGTTCAGGTTGAACTGAGTAATGAAAGGCATCTTCAGAGGCATGTCTAATCACTGTTTTTGATAAAATCATGTATCTGTTCTTTGCATCGCACTCGTGGATATGGGCCAGAGAAATAGAGGAAGTCAAAATACATCCAGAAAATCTGGAAAAAATATCCTTAAGTGAAGTTGCACAAAATGTAGGATGTCCAAAATATTTTCCAGGCATCCATTTGCATCTTACTTGCAAACGGCTAATTTAGGAAAAGCTCCTTTTAACCTTAAACAAGGAGCAGTAGATACTGAAATTGGCAATAGTAATACCGTGCCTTTCATTGTTGTTTCTCTACAGTAAGACTCGATTCCGCTGGATCCAGGAGAGCAGCTCCCACAAGAGCGTGCCTCCTTTCGGCTTAGACGGCGTTTACATTTCTGAGCCTTGCCCCAACTACTGCAACGGTCACGGGGACTGTGTCTCGGGGGTCTGCTTCTGTGACCTGGGCTACACAGGTAAGACAACCCTTTTTAGGTGGGATTACAGTAAGCATTGGCTGAGTTAAAGCTGTAAATCTAGCATCTTGTTTTTCCTCTCTGCTATTCCAGAAAAATATGTAATGACATAAATTTCATGGGCTGCCAGCAAGAATCTTTTCATTTTGTTAAATAAAATTCAGCATAGGCAAAACAGAGCAGCTGAAGGCAGCGGAAACCAGTGAGGTTTCTGGCAACCACAATCTTTGAACATCACCATCTGTATGAATGGGAAGGGACTAACGATAAAAGAGAAAATAAAATAAAATATTATAAACTAAAAAGTCTGCTTAAAAGTCTTTGGATCATCTTCAAAAAATTGCTGCTGTTTTTGAGTCCCCTGGCCATCAGATGGCATGGGACCAGGAGGGAACATATGTTCTGACAGGCCCTTCTGTGGAAAATTCTGCTCACTTGTGGTTTCAGGGGCTTTTATGCTGAAATAAAAAAAAAATCTAACCAAACCCAATGAAAAAAAAAACAGTGATTGACACAACCAGTTGCATGCTGCACTCTTTTCAAACCTCTGCACCAGCAAAGCAATAAACTAACATCTTTTGTTCAAATCAAAGGATAATATTTTTCTGTTTACATAAAAAGCCTTATCAACATAAAGCACAGCTGTTTTTCACCTAGTGAAATAAGCCATCTTAGAGTTTAGAGGAAGAGGGCTTATTCTGCTTATGAAAATTTGTAAAGCAGGTTTAAAAAGGTACAATCCCACCATCAGGACATTTTCTTAGAAAAGCCTGATACTTTCTCATATGTGGATGCAACAGTACTGTCTGCCAATGTACCGTATCTGACCTTTACTCTCTTCCGTACAGTTTCACCAAAGCATCTCCCATATATTTTTTTTTCCTTGAAGCATCGCATGGAACCTGTGTGTCTAATGTGCCTAACCACAGTGAGATGTTCGACAGGTTTGAGAGGAAGCTAAGCCCTCTCTGGTACAAGATAACAGGAGGTCAGGTTGGGACAGGCTGTGGCGTGCTCAGCGACGGAAAATCTCTGTACTTCAATGGACCTGGCAAAAGGGAGGCAAGAACTGTTCCCCTGGACACCACAAATATCAGGTCAATCCTCAGTGCTGTTTCTCACAGTTATTTGTGTATTCATGTCGTCTTCTCTCCGCTCTTGCAAGTGTAAATGTGAGAAAGCAGGACATGTTTTTCTGATAATTGCAACCTGTACAAGAAATCCTAAATGCAGAGAAATTACTTTTTTGTTCATTCCAGTGTACTATTTCCATTTCTTGAGAGAGAATACTTAGGTTAGAAACAGTGGAACAGCAGCATAAAAAAATATGAACTCTTCATCTTTCTGAGAAGATGCAGTGTATTCTAGATGGACAGGCAGAAGACGTGGTCCTGAGACTGCACAAAACCTAGGGCTCTGCCCATAGCTGAACAGAAAACCTCCCTTTCCCCCAACAGCATTGAACGGCAGGCATGGCAATGGTGTAGCAACGAGCTGTTGTTTACTTGCCAGATGTTGTGAATTAGTCCACTTGTCAGAAGTGTGAAAAAACAAAATGTGAATTGTTTCTGTGTAGTGAAGAGGCTAACAAGGCTTCACCTCTCTCCCTGCTACCACTGAATCTTGCTCTGCTGGTAGCAATTATCCTTTTTCTCTCAAATTGTCTAATTGATTAATGTAATTAGGATAAACAAAGGGCTGTTAATTCCAACCATTATTTAGCCTGGAGTTTGCTGCTGCTTTGTCCAGTCTCAAGAGGGATCATGAAACCAGTTAGCTTAATAAGATATTTCTCCTGACAAATACTGCTCCAAGAGTAAGTAATGCCATGATTCACCGCATTATTTAGTTTGTGGGATCACTTGGCAAAGATTGGCCACAAGTTACTGCTACTGCCTTCCAGTTCAGGCAAGTGGTGCTCCTTAGGGCAGCATGGGTGCTGCGGGTTTGGGGACATCCTTACCTGCTCCCCAGCACCGAGCAGCACAGCTGCCTTTCCTCTGTCCTCTGCATGTCTGACAAGTTCTCCTCTGACAAATATGTGAATTATTTATATAATATGTAAATTAATTAACAAATGCGCTTTGGACAAGTGTGTGTTTGCACTGGAACTCTGGGAAGATCTGAGCACTTCTGTTCCATCGTCTTGTTAAATCTCATGTTATTAATCCTGTGAAGCACAATATTGGAAGTAACCACATCATCAAGAAGTCTGTATTGAAACAGTATTTTTGAGTTATTCCTTCTTTCCTGGAGAAATCTTTTTATAAAAGAAAAGGATTTTCTTTAGCTTAAGATTAGTTTGAAACCACTTTTAATGCCAGATATTCATATTTATAGCTTTTCATCTTTATAATTTGAACCATTTTAAAAGCCAGAAGCTTTAAAATACTGAGCAATACTCTTTCTTGACTTTTTTTAATCCACCACTACTTCTGTTTTGCACAAGAACATGGTCATCTGGTGTCATAAAACTGCCCCAAAACTGTAAATGGCCAGAGGGACACCAGGTAAGAGCAACTAAAATCCCTCTTCTGAGTACATGCTCACCACGTGAGCTGCTCCCCTGCTGCAATTGACCATTTTGTCAAAGTAAATCAGCATTTAATTTTTTTACAAGCATCATAGTGAACAGTTTAACTTCCTTGAACAATTCAAGCTTGAAGCCACATCCCTGGGCTGTTTGCTAGATGGAAAAAACACACCAGTCATCTCAAACACAAATGGGACTAACATTGACTTTTTTCATTTCTTCAGTCACGTCTGTGCTCAGAGGTAGTATCCACCTCATGCCGCTTGACCAGAACTCCTTAGACAACAGCAATTAACCCAGGCTGCTTTTATGTTCAGAGGAGAGAATAGCTGCTTCAAAAGGGTGATGCAACTCATGATAAAATAGGGTCTACCAAAGGCCAGTGCTTTGCCTTCCGGATGTATGTATTTTTTTCATTAATTTTAAGGTAATCTAGATTGGTCACGTAAAACTTAGCCATTCAGCTTCAGACACCTTGCTTAGAACATCTGTAACATTAACTGGGTCTTTTTTTACTAGAAGCAAAGGCAGACTAAGTTTGTGAGAGTGTGAGGGTTAATGGAAAGACTCATACCCTAAAAAGAAAATAATTTCTCAGCCAAGAATTTTTTTTCTGTTATTGGAGCTAAAATTAGTGTCACTTGAAAGAGGAGATTAGAGGGAAGCACTTTTTCCCATTTTGGTATTACTTTTTGCATTCAGTAACACCTTGCATAGAATTCGGTTATCTTATTAGGGGTCATCTTAGCCCCTGCACAGTTATCTTTTATTTTTGCACGGGTTTTTTTGTTGGAGGGTTTTGGTGTCTGAGTAAACAGCAGGAAAATATGCCTTGAAAAACATACTGTTAAATATGTGGATTGAGGGTTGTGAATAGGAAGGCTGAAACTCCTGCAGTAGATTTTTAAGCTTCTTATTTTTCAGGTTAATAATGTTTTCCCAGACCTTTTAAGATCTTATTTCATTAAATCAAGCATGGAAGAGCAAAAAATTGAAAAAATATTGCAGGACATTAAAGCTTTATTTTCATTCTGAATTCCCACAGATCTATCTATGCATATTCCCTATCATCTTGCTTCAGTTACAGCTTCTTGAATGTAAAGGGTAAATTTTATGTAAGGAACGTAAAGAATTTTTGTTCTTTTTTGTAAGAAGTACAAAGACTCTTTTCCCCTTCACCCTTCCCTTCCCAGAGGAGTGCGGTCCATGGAGGCTCTGTGCTCCTGGTTTGCTCTGCTCCAAAGGGGTTGAGATTTGCCAGCCAAGGTGCGTGGTGCTGCTCAGGGAAGCAGCCCAACAGGGCCCAACACCGCCAAAGTCAGGTGTCACACTAAGAGCATTTAAAACTAAAGCTTGCTCCCTGAAGCCACTGATCATAAACAAGCATTCAGCATTTAGCATATACATTAAGTGCTATCATAATCTTAGCTTTGTTTGTCCTATTGGCTCCTTATATCTTTATATGATTGACTACACTTTTTTCACAGACATCAGAAGAATGTCCCATAGCACTGAGAGCTGTAAGTGTCAAAACTCATTTCATCCAGACCATTTTTTGCCCTACACTTCACAAACCCCCTGGAACCTCTCCATCCCTTCCCTTTTGCATGGCCCAACACACCAAAGGCACAATTTCACCAGCAGTATTTCCCCCCTCCCGACTGACAATACGATATCTGGATGCATTTTGCTTACTGATGCATTTTGCTTACTGATGAGCTACTGCCTCCCATTCTGATGGCC